GGGAGAGATAAGGGGGAGAGGGAATGGGGTTATAGAAGTTATTTGGAATGTATGTGGTTTGATACATAATACATTGTTGATCTATGTATTGAAATAAAATTTTATAGAAGATATAAAAAAAAAGAAATAAGTATACTAGGAGGACTGCATCAAGTTCTGGAGACAGCATTTGACTGAACTCAACCTATTTGTGCTCCCAAAGCAGTACACCCTGTGCTTGTAGCTCCATCTTTTATTAGTGAGTCCTTAGTAAACAAAATTATTTCTTCATGTGCACAAAGAAAGGTCCATAAAGACTTGGTATAAGGAGTTTGGTGAAGAGAAACATGAATGGTGTGCACAGAGGAGGCTGGTATAACTGCAAGAGTTTGCTGGGGGGGGGGGGGGGGGGGCAACTTCATGTTAATACCCATGGTTTTGGAAAGGGATGCCCAATAAACTCATATAGGTGTGATTGTCAGGAGTCCACAAACTTTTGGCCATATAATGTACCAATCATTATTGATGTATAGTAGCACAAAGGGACATTAATCTAAGTGCACAAAGGGACATGAATCTCCTACTTACAGAATGCATGACAGCCATACTGAATTTCCAGGCACCATGTTACACCTTGTGCAAGAAGGAATAGGCAAACACTCTATCATCCTATGTGTAGAACAGCATCAAGACAAGACAAGAGTTTAGTCTCTGCTGCCATCTAGAGCACTGCACAAGACAAGTCTCTCACCCTGCAGTATGGTAGTCTCAAATGTCAGATTTTTTTCTTCTTTTTTTGATCACTAAAAAATAAAAACGGATAATGGGTTTGACATACTGTATTAAAATGTCAGTACTACGAAATGTTATTTCCCTGGCTAAATAGCTTCAGGTTTTCCAATCTCATTTTTTAGAGCATTCTTGAATCTGTTTGGTGCCTGTTTAGAAATAGCATTTATTTGTCTTGATATGTGAGGAACAATGTAACTTTAATAATATGAATGAAATAGAAATCTTACAGAGAAAAAGAATTGCATTGGTATGCTGTGACAGATTTTACCAAGTAAATGGAAAAACCCATATTAGGGTCTCCAATAATGATCCGATAGGTGAAAATCCTGATGTGCTTATTTTAATGTATTTTACAAATGCTTACTTTTTGGTTTACTAGAATTTATATTGTTTGTAAGATATATACATATCTCCAACTTTCTGAGATGAGAAAGAGAAACACCTATTAGCAAATATGTAGGCAGAGGACACACTCCTGCCAAACCCCCCACTATCTGGAGTATAAAAACACAAAAAATAATTGATTAAAGTTAAACCATAAGTACTTTTTTTTACCACTACTATTCCTTTACTGGCGTTTGTAATTTACAAATGACTTTTGAAATTTACAGATGCACCAATTTACTATTATTATGCAGGATTTGTATAGCGCCAACAGTTTGAGCAGCACTTTATAACCTAAAGGGAGACAGTACCATTACATTACAGTAAAATACAAGAAGGTTAAGAGGGCCCTGTTCATAAGAGCTTACAATCTAATCAGGTGGGGCAAGTGGTACAAAAGGTCATAATTCTGGGGATGATGTGATGGAAGGGTTAAAAATTCAGTTGTTAATTGGAGGCATGAAAGGCTTCCCTGAAGAGGTGAGTTTTCAGGTATCGCCTAAGGCGGCCAGAGCAGGATATAGCTAGACAGAACAAGGAAGAGAGTTCCAGAGGATGGCAGAGGCTCTGCAGAAGTCCTGGAGATGAGCATGGGAGGAGGAGGCAAGAGAGCTTGAGAGCAGAAGGTCTTGGGAGGAGCGGAGAGGATGGTTTGGGTGATATTTGGAGACAAGATAGGTGATGTAGCTTGGGGAACAGTTGTGGATGGCTTTGTATGTTGTTGTTGTTGGTATTTTGAATTTAATTTTCTGGGCAATCAAAAGCCACTGGAGGGAATGGCAGAGAGGAGTGGCAGGCATAGAGCAGTTGGTAAGGCAAAGTCTGGCAGCAGGGTTCATGATAAATTAGAGGATAGCCTATGGAGACGTAGGCCTTTGAGAAGTGAAAAGGGAAATGCAATAGCCAAGGCAAGATCTGAGTCTAGGATTACATCTAGTACCCTAGCAAGACCGGAGGGATTGATAGTTGTTTTTATTGATCACAATGTAAAAGTCATAGAGGAGGGCATGAGCAGGGGTAATTATTACCAGCTTAATTTTAGAGAGATTTAGTTGAGGAAGTGGTGCAACAGCCATGTTGATATGTCAGTTAGTAAGTTAGTAATGTGAGAGGAGACTGAAGGAGTGAGGGGTAGAGACATAGATTTCGATGTCATGGCGTAGAGATGGAATTGGAAGCTGTGGGATGTTATCAAGTGACCAAGGGAGGAGGTGTCGATAGAGAAAGGTAGGGGCCCAAGAACAGAGTCTTGGGGTACCCCTACAGAAAGAGGAGGAGGAGAAGAGGAGACAGAGTTTTAGGTAACATTGACAAAGCTCTGTGATAGATAGGAGCACAACCAGGAAATAGCAGAATCTTTGAGGCCAAGGAAGTGTAGTTTATTGCGTAAGGGTGGGTGGTCATCAGTATCAAAGGCTGCAAAGATGTCTAGTAGTGAGAATATGGAGTAGCAGTTAGTAAATCACTAATGATTTTTAGTAGCGCAGTTTTTGCAAAGTGATAAAAGCAAAAGCCTGAGTGTAAAAGTCAAGAAAGTTGTTTCCAGTGAGATGAGAGCTCAGATGGTTATATAGTAAGCATTCTAAAAGTTTAGAGGTGAATGGAAGCAAAAAGCAAGGTCTTAAAGTGTTACTAAACCCACAACAGTAAAATCAGTCTGGATATTCAGTAAAGCATGCTTGATATACTCACTATGGAAACTAAGGGGTTAATTCTCTGCATTGTGTAAAAATGCTGTTTGATCCTGACTTCCCTGATCCTCCCCTTCTTCCAGTGCACCCCTCTTATCTCCTAATAAGACATGTTGTGTGGAGACAGCACATGCTCGGTTTTAATGTGTATTGCTAGAGAGGGTTTTTTTTTCTTGGGAAAGTGCATATGATCAGCACAGAGCCAATGAGCACCTTCCAGACAGAGATCAGAGATTCTGCATCCTCCTAGAACAGAAAGAAAACTCCAAGCTTTACCCAGTGCTTGGCTACACACTGATAGAAGTCACAAGACTGCTCTAACTGATGATGAGAAAAGGTATTTAGCAGTTTATATTTACTAAAATAATTGCATTTTCATGTTGTGTGTACTGTGGGAGACCAGATATAATGAATGCAGGGTCCTGGGTTTAGAAACACTTTAAGTTGTTCAGGTTGGTGAGTCCAGTGATGGCTTTTATAGTATAGGGGTGATTTATAATTTAGAAATTAAATTAATGAAAAGTTTAGCACTGATATAACTTTCTGATAGCTAAATAGTGCATTTTTAAAATAGAAAATGTATATACATTAGACCAAAATGAGAAGTAGTGATGTCCTTGATGTGTGAGTTGAACGTAGGTTCAACTCGAACATTGGCCATTCGTGTTTTCAGCGAACACAGGAACCGTAAGAGAATTTGGCGGGGCTGTTCGCCTGTTGCCCCCCACAATGCATTGCACTCTGGCAGCGCATTGTGTTTGGCCAAAACAATGCACTTGACCACAAGTCAGGTGCAATGCTTTGGCCAATCACAGCACAATTGGGCAGAGCTAGCTGTGACATCATTGCTACATCCACCCAATTGTTTATATCTGACCGGCAAATGTCAGATAGCCGCAAATGCTCAGTGGGTGCAGATAGGAAAAAGTCATTTTAAAATGATTTCAGTCCTGCTGCAGCAGGTTCTATACATTGTACAGATGTGCAACTTCTGTGTGTGCAGGTAGTTTAAGGGGACCCCCCAGTCATGATATTTAAAGGGATTTTGCTTTTTTACTTTACGCAATCAAACATGACTGCCCTTTAAAAATGGTACTTTTTAAAAAAAAACTGATTCATATGCCTCAAGGCAGTACCCAAGTCCCCATACCCCTTTCATTGCCAATAACTTGCATATAAGCTGTCAAAATGGGCACTTTTGAATTTACTAGTTCAAGTTCCATAGACAATAAGTTTGAAGTTCGCAGTCGAACTTTCGTTAGGTTCGAATGTTCGACCGCAAACCAAACAGGGGGGTGTTCAGCCCATCACTAATGAGATGGAATGATGGGCAGATGGACCTTGTTTCAGAACAGGGACAGTCCCCCCAAATCAGGGACAGCTATGCATTCCTGCTGTGTTTTAGCTCACAGAAAATTGTAATTGCCCACAAATGAAATGTCTGATTACACTCATTATGCTGAAAAAAAACTAAATTCCTTCTACAGATCTACTGCGGGAAGGGTGACTTTGTCATGTTCAGCTTTTCATGTGTCTTGCATTGAAGCAACATGAACAGGTTTATTGGTCGATGTTTCAACGAGGCGTCTTGAGAAAGACAAGCAGTGCCTTGTCAAATCATTGGCAGTAAGGAGTGGGGAACAGAAAGGTGGAATTAGGACCATTAGAAAACAACTTATTTTCTGGTGTTCCTAAGAGTTTTCCACAAACATTTAATTCATGTATTCTAGAATGCGCTAAACTTTTAGACATTCATTTGTTTTGCAGATAAGGTGTATGAATTATTATATGCAGTAGTGGTAATATTTTATCACAGTTGTTATAACCTCTCTTCATATTTTGAGTTCTAATTTACCATGTGTTGTTAATATTCAATTTTAATCAAGTCTGTTTTGCTTGTTTGAAGATTCCTTGGAACCCATTTCATATAGGATATTATCTGGCGATCTGCAAGAGATATTCTCCATAAACCCACAGTTTGGTATTATTACTACAGCAAAGCAGCTGGATCATGAAACCCATCCAGTTGCCGTACTCACTGTCCAGTCCCAATTAGGAAACTCTCCAGCCTACAGCAGCACACAGGTCAATGTAACTATAACTGATGTGAATGACAATCCACCTGTATTTCAAAGAGAGAATGAAAGAATAAGTGTGCACCAAAACACTCCTCCTGGAAGTGCTCTGTATATAGCTCAGGCACAGGATATTGACAGTGGATACAATGGACTCATCTCATATAGCATTGCAAGTGAAAACCAGGATGTGTTTGTCATTGACCCCAATTTTGGAATCTTGTACCTCAATACCACTTTAACAATGGTGTGTGAACATATTCTGCTGATAACAGCTGAAGATAGCGGACATCCGTCATTAAGTTCTCTTCTTACATTAACCATCAGTGTTACAAAGCCAGACACAATTAACACTTTGACCTTTGGTAATTTAGTGCATCGAATTGAAATCAATGAAGATTTTGCAGTATATTCCAGAGTCCTTCAGGTGCAAGCGTACATAGAAGGTGCACAAAGCCAGCTGTCAAGGATAATTTACTCTTTGTGGTCTGAGAGTTCAGTTCCATTTGCAATTCATCGCAATACCGGATGGATTTTCTTGCGTCGGTCACTGGATTATGAAAGAACCACTGTGTACAATCTGATCGTAGTAGCAAGCTGTGCAGACTATGTAGAGGAGCAAACGGCTTCTACTTCAGTAATTGTGAAGGTCTTGGATGTAAATGACAATTCCCCTGCTTTCAGTCAAACCATGTACTTTTTCACCACTATGGAAAGTTCTAGTCCTAATGGAGTCATTGGCACAATCACAGCATCTGATAGTGACTCCGGGAAAAATGGGCAGCTTTCCTTTTTCCTCTTGTCTGATGAAAATTATTTCCAAATCAGCTCTAAGACAGGTAATTTATAGGCTTCTCAACTATGTTGTTTTCAGACTTGCTAGTTGAAATTACCCATCAAGGGTCGACCCAGGATTAACACCATAGGAAACAATATTTTGACATCCATGTGAAGGAAAACAATATTGGGAGAAATATGAAGGATGCCACTGATGATATCCTTCTGAAAATGGTAGTTACCTAGCTGTCTCTGTTTTTCATACTTTTTAACCACTTGCCTACCGGGCACTTATACCCCCTTACTTACCTGGCCAATTTTCAGCTTTCAACGCTGTCGCACTTTGAATGACAATTGCGTGGTCATGCAACATTGTACCCATATAAAAATTTTTATCATTTTTTTCTCACAAATAGAGCTTTCTTTTGGTGGTATTTACTTGCCGCTGGGGGTTTTAGTTTTTGCGCTATAAAAAAAAAAAAGAAAAAAATTTTGCAAACAGGTAATTTTTCTCCTTTACTGATGTGCGTTGAGGAGGCTGCACTGATAGGCAGCACTGATGGCCACTGATAGGCAGCACTGATGGGCACTGATAGGCGGCACTGATAGGCAGCACTAATGAGGTGGCACGGATAGGCAGCACTGATAGGTGGAACTGATAGACGGCCCTGATGATGGGTACTGATAGTCAGCACTGATAGGCGGCACTGACTGATTGCACTGGTGGGCACTGACTGGCGGCACTGCTGGGCACTGACTGGCACACCTGTTGGGCACTGACTGGCAGCACTGCTGGGCTGCACTGATGGGCACTGGTGGGTGGCACTGATGGGCAGAGGTGGGTGGCACTGATGGGAAGAGTTGGGTGACACAGGTGGGTGGCACTGATATGCACAGGTGGGTGACACAGGTGGGTGGCACTGATGGGCACAGGTGGGTGGGTGTCACCGCTGGGCACTGGTGGGTGGCACTGCTGGGCACAGGTGGGTGGAACTGGTGGGTGGCACTGCTGGGCACTGATCATCAGGGTACTGATCATCAGTGCCCTGATGATCGGTGCCAAACCCTGCTCTGACAACTGCCGGTTCTTGGCAGTACTTTCCCCACGTCCTGACAGCGTGAGCAAAGTGCAGCCGAGGACCGGCAATTGCATTTCCCTGTGATCAGCATGTCATTGGACATGTCTGATCACGTGGTAAAAAGCCGCTGTGATTGGCCTTTTACCACAAAACGTGATCAGCTGTATCTGTAGGACACAGCGATCACGGAGATCGCTGGGTGCGCACCCCGGGGGTCACGCAGGAGAGCGCGTTCTTGGAGGACGCCCTCGAAGAACTGGCCGGTCGCAGTGTAGCTGTCATTCAGCTATCTGCGGTCGGCAACTGGTTAAGTCACTTATCTAAAATTTACATGCAGCCAGTAAAGTCAGAACCTCTGATTTCCATACTAACTACAAGCCTTTCAGTTAGAGGCTAGAGGAACAGCATTGCAGCAAGTGAGCTAGTATTTCAGGAGATGTATAAGTTTTCTTTAATGGGTCATTGCTTACTACTAGTGAAATCTGTGAATGATCAGAGGTCACATGGTACAAGGCTATTCACAACAGCCTTGTACCATATGACAAGCTGTGACCAATCACAGCTCTCACAGTATTTCTCAATGGCTGCAAGAATGCAGCCAGAGAGAAGGAGAAATTATTGCTTTTACAGCCTTTATGGGTGTAAAAGCAATCAGTGTATAAAAAAAAAAAAAATCTTCATCACCCCCCACAAGTAGTACAGTGTTACTTTGGTGACACTGTACTGCTAGGGTGAAAGTATGTTTAAAAATAAATACATAAATAAAAAATTATTTATATATATATATATATATATATATAATAAAAATGTAAAAAACTTTTTTGAAACGTTTTGGTTTATTTATTTATTTTTTTACTAAAAGATTGATGAATACATTTTGGCCAATATTTATGAAGAAAGATTATTTATTTGCAAAATGTTATAAGAAAAACACTTTTTTTGTAAAAATGTTTGGACTTTCCATTTACATAGCAAAATATAAAAAATCCCAGTGGTGAATATATACCATCAAAATAAAGTTTTATCTGTCTCAAAAAAATGCTAGTGGGTACAGTGTTGCATGACCGCGCAATTGTCATTCAAAGTGTAATAGCACTGAAAGCTGAAAATTGGCCTGGACTGGAAGGGGTTGAAAGTGTCTGGACTTGAAGCGGTTAAAATGAATGCTAAATCATCCTTTAACTACTTTTAGAAGCATCTATGAACTTGTGAAAGAATGTAAAGTCTTGTGAAACGTAAGAACTAACTTCTTGGGGACATTTTTTACCCATAAAACTCCTTACTTTACACAGCTATCAAAAAATATACATCAACTGCTGCAAGTACTGTAGCAGCTGACCTAAAAAGAAAAAGCATGCATTTTCTAGCCCATGGCATTCAGCACTGTCTTCTTCACACCTGCAGTCTTCACAGCTCTTTTCTTTTCCAGCACTGCCATCTTAGATTCAGGAGTGCCTCATTGCTGTTGCTTTGCTGTTCATGGACAATGCAGATAGTCTGCCGGGAGACCTTCTGGGATTTGTTACTTGTGTCCTAGGAGGCTGTGGGTGGGACGGGTGGACTGAGGGCCATGTCATCCTCAATTAGGAGAGCAAAAAGGAAGATGAGAATAATGCTAACTTGATTTTTGGGTGTAGATACCCTTATACAAACTTTAAGATTCCATTTATCCAAAAATGATAAATCAGTTACAGGTTAAAGCTAAGCTCCAGGGAAAGTGAAATGCTCATTTGTAGTGGGGGCTTCCTCCGCTATGTCCCTTACCCTAGACCTAAGTGAGCATTTAACCCTTGAAATGTTTGGCAGCCCCACTGCAAGCAAGGATTCTCTTTTCCCCAGAGTTGCTCTTTATGTCTGGGCTTCGGACTGCTATAGTTTACAGATCTGTCCCTGTCTAGGGTGGATATTTGGTGTTTTTGTTCATTTTTCCTATTCCCATTCCTCCTATTACATTCTCCAGAGTACAGAAAAACTAATTGTAATGAGAGTGGGAGCCTCAAGGCCATGTTCACATTTTAGATTTGATGTGGTTTCCAGCAAAAAAATGGCTTACAAAGATTTGAATGGTATCAGGTGTAAAGCATGATTAAAACACACGAAAAACTCATTGCGCCTAAAATATGCAAATGTGAAGTTCTAAATTACACCCACATATGATCTAAAATAATCCCTATAACAAAATTCTGATAAACAAAACTACAATATTTAATTGTCTTAATACTTCTTTGTGGGATGCTTTTTACTATAAGCCAATCATCATTCCGATGCCTGCTTTATTGCTGTATTTTTGTTGTTTATTCTTCCAGAATGTAGACGTTCATTAAAAGCCTTTCAGTCTCATGCTTATCCCTTACACTTTGAGCTTTAAACTAATATTGTCAAAATACAGTTTAACTAGAATTTAGAAATTAGATTTATTTAGGTGTTTATAATATACTTCAGACTAAAGAATGTACTTTGAAGTAAAATTGCCCAAGAGGCATTTTAGTTAAAATGAGGGTGATTTACTAAAGGCAAATAGGCTGTTCACTTTCAGGGGGAATTTTCACTTTACAAGGGACAGTTTCATTAGCTTAGTGAATTTGGGGTCAGTAGGGGGCCCCATGAGATGCCCCTGGTACCTTTTTCATAGGCTTTTTTGAGTTTGGGCAAGGACACAGGGGCCCCATGATCCCCTATTACCCGGGAGCCCCATGAGTTGTCAGTCCACCCCTGGACTGAACCTTTCTCCAATATGCTTGTTTAATAAGGCAGCCAAAAGTACAATTCATTTGGGCAAAGTGTAGAAACCTAAGAGCACCAAGCATAAATCCTCTCTGATCTAATATGGTTGCAGAAAATGGAAAGCTGACTGGTTGTGATTCTTTACAAAAAGTTCCTTTATTTTACGCTGCTGTAAATATTGAAACTGTAAATCATATCCTGTTATTGTGTCTTTCTTTGCATTCTTTAGGTGAAATTATAAATTGTGCTGCTTTAGATCGTGAAAAGAAAACACAACATCAGTTTACTGTGTTAGTGACGGACCATGGCACTCCACGTCGTAATGCCACGACCACAGTTTACATCACAGTTGCTGACCTTAATGATAACAAGCCATACTTTCCACAACTGCCTATAGGAAAGCAGCTGCATGTCAAGGTTTGTTAGATATTGGAGAGCAAACAGCTGTGTGATTTCACTCCATTCATTCTTGAAAGATGGCTGCCATCTAGTGGTCTGGCTGGTAGCTGCCCCGAACAAGATGTATGTGAATGCAATTGTACAATAAATGTTCCATTTTAACATATTGCACTGGGTTAAAAAAAAACTGCTCTACATAAAAAAGTGCATTAGAGGGAATTATCAAAAAAAATGCATAGAAAATGTAAATGTTGTGCCAGCAATCAGAATATCTATTACATTGTTCACACTACATATATTCACTATTATGTGTTATGTTTGTTGTAATGAGGCATCACAAGTTTTAGGTTTCATAGCTCACTGGCTTTCTTTTCTTTTTTTAAGGTTCCAGAAGGTCAGAAAGGACACATGTTGCTGACTACTGTTTTTGCAAGGGATCCTGATGCTGGTGGTAATGGGACTATATGGTACTCATTGTCTTCGGGTAAGCAACTTAATGCTGTTTTATGAAATATGTTTTGTGATTTACATTATGCATTACATTTTCCTATATCTTCTCACTATATACACTGTATTGCCAAAACTACCCCTCCAAATCATTGGATTCAGGTGTTCCAATCACCCCCATGGGCACAGGTGTATACAATCAAGCACCTAGGCATGCAGACTGCTTCTACAAACATTTGTGAAAGAATGGGTCGCTTTCAGGAGTTCAGTCAATTCAGGCATTGTACCGTGGTAGGTTGCCACCTGTGCAATAAGTCCATCCTTGAAGTTTCCTTGCTACTAAATATTCCACGAATAACTGTTACTGGTATTATAACAAACTGTAAGCAAACTGGGAACAACAGCAACTCAGCCATGACGTGGTAGGCCATGTAAAATGACAGAGCGGGGGTGAGTGCTTGCTGAAGCGCATGGTGCGCAGAAGTCTCTAACTGTCTGCAGAGTCAATAGCTAAAGACCTCCAAACTTCATGTGGCTTTCAGATTAGCACACAACAGTGCATAGAGAGCTTCATGGAATAGGTTTCCATGGCCAAGCAGCTGCATCCAAGCCTTACATCACTAAGTGCAATGCAAAGCGTCGGATACAGTGGTGTAAAGCATGCCACCACTGGACCCTAGAGCAGCGGAGACATGTTTTCTGGAGTGACAAATCACACTTCTCTGTCTGGCAATCCAATAGATGTTTCTGGGTTTAGCAGTTGCCAGGAGAAAAGTACTTGCCTGACTGCATTGTGCCAAGTGTAAAGTTTGGTGAAGGGGGGATTATGGTGTGAACTTGTTTTTCAGGGGTTGGGCTTGGCCCCTTAGGTTCAGTGAGGGGAACTCTTAAGGCATCAGCATACCAAAGCATTTTGGACAATTTCATGCTCCCAACTTCTCGTCCAACATCATTATCTGACCTTACAAATGCGCTTCTGGAAGAATGGTCAAACATTCCCAATATAGTGTATATACAATATATTGCCAAAAGTATTGGGACTCCTGCCTTTACACGCACATGAACTTTAATGGCATCCCAGTCTTAGTCCGTAGAGTTCAGTAATGAGTTTGCCCACCCTTTGCAGCTGTAACAGCTTCAACTCTTCTGAAAAGGCTGTCCACAAGGTTTAGGAGTGTGTCTATGGGAATGTTTGACCATTCTTCCAGAAGCACATTTGTAAGGTCAGGCACTGATGTTGGATGAGAAGGCCTGGCTCACGGTCTCCGCTCTAATTCATCTCAAGAGTGTTCTAGCGACTTGAGGTTAGAACTCTGTGCAGGCCAGTCAAAATCCTCCACCCTAAACTTCCTCATCCATGTCTTTATGAACCTTGCTTTGTGCACTGGTACGCAGTCATGTTGGAACAGGAAGGGGCCATCCCCAAACTGTTCCCACAAAGTTGGGAGCATGAAATTGTCCAAAATTTCTTGGTATGCTGATGCCTTAAGAGTTCCCTTCACTGGAACTAAGGGGCCAAGCCCAACACCTGAAAAACAACCCCACACCATAATCCCCCTCCACCAAACTTTACACTTGGCACAATGCAGTCAGGCAAGTACCTTTCTCCTGGCAACCGCCAAAAACCCAGGCACGTCCATCAGATTGACAGGTGGCAACCTATCACAGTACCTTGCTTGAATCCACTGAACTCTTGAGAGAAACCCATTCTTTCACTAATGTTTGTAGAAAGAGTCTGCAAGGCCTAGGTGCTTACTTTTATACACCTCTGGCCATGGAGGTGATTGTAAATCCTGAATCCAATGATTTGGAGGGTTGTCCCAATACTTTTAGCAATATAGTAAAAAAAACACTGCTCAAAAAAAAATTAAAGGAACACTTTAAAAATACATCAGATCTCAATGGGGAAAAACTTCATACTGGATATTTATACTGATATGGACTGGGTAATGTGTTAGGAACATGAGGATGCCCCATCATTTGATTGAAATGGAAATTATAAACCTACAGAGGACTGAATTCAAAGACACCCTGAAAATAAAAGTGAAAAAATAATGCAGCAGGCTAGTCCATTTTGCTGAAATTTCATTGCAGCAACTCAGATTGGTACTCAGTAATTTGAATGGCCCCTATGTGCTTGTATGTATGCCTGACAATGCTGGGGCATGCTCCTAATGATGATGGATGGTTTTCTGGGGTATTTCCTCCTAGATCTGGACCAGGGCATCACTGAGCTCCTGGACAGTCTGAGGTGCAACCTGGTGGCATCAGATGGACCTAAACAGAGGTATTCTTTTGGAATTAGGTCAGGCGAGCATGGGGGCCATTCAATTGTATAATTTCCTTCATTTCTCCAGGAACTGCCTGCATACTCTCACCACATGAGGCTGGGCATTGTCGTGCACCAGGAGGAACTCAGGACCCACTACACCAGCGTAGGGTCTGACAATGGGTCCAAGGATTTAATCCCAATACCTAATGGCAGTCAGGGTGCTATTGTCTAGCCTGTAGAGGTCTGTGCGACCCTTCATGGGTATGCCTCCCCAGACCATCACTGACCCACCACCAAAACGGTCATGCTGAACAATGTTACAGGCAGCACAATGTTCTCCATGGCTTCTCCAGACCCTTTCACGTCTGTCACGTGTGCTCAGGGTGAACCTGCTCAAATCTGTGAAAAGCACAGGGCACCAGTGGCAGACCTGCCAACTCTGGTGTTCAGTGGCAAATGCCAATCAAGATCTATGGTGCCAGGCAGTGAGCACAGGGCACACTAGAGGACGTCGGGCCCTCAGCTCACCCTCATGAAGTCTGTTTCTGATTGTTTGGTCAAAGACATTTACACCAGTGGCCTGTTGCAGGTCATATTGTAGCGCTCTGGTGGTGCTCATCCTGTTCCTCCTTGCAAAAGGAGCAGATACTGGTCCTGCTGATGGGACCTTCTACGGCCCTGTCCAGCCCTTCTAGAGTAACTGCCTGTCTCCTGGAATTTCCTCCATGCTCCAGAGACTGTGCTAGGAGACACAGCAAACTTTTTGGCAATGGCACATATTGATGGAGTTGGACTGCCTGCACAACCTCTGTAGGGTCCAGTTATCGCCTCATGCTATCAGTAGTGACACTGACCCTAGCCACATGCAAAACTAGTGAAAAACAGTCAGAAAAAGATGAGTAGGGAAAAAAATATCAGTGGCCTCCACCTGCAAAACCATTCCTGTTTGGTGGGTCATCTCATTGTTGCCTATCTAGTGCACCTGTTATTAATTTCATTAGCACCAAAGCAACTGAAATTGATTAAAAACCCCCTCTGCTACTTAATTGACCAGATCAATATCCCAGGGGTTTAATTGACTTGATGCTATACTCTGATTAAAAAGTGTTCCTTTAATTTTTTTGAGCAGTGCACTGTAATATATATATATATATATATATATATATATACAGGTGAAACTCAAAAAATTAGAATATCGTGCAAAAGTTCATTTATTTCAGTAATGCAACTTAAAAGGTGAAACTAATATACAAGATAGACTTATTACATGCAAAGCAAGATAGTTCAAGCTGTGATTTGTCATAATTGTGATGATTATGGCTTACAGCTCATGAGAACCCCAAATCCACAATCTCAGAAAATTAGAATATTGTGAAAAGGTGCAATATTCTACGCTGAAAGTGTCCCACTCTAATCAGCTAATTAAGCCATAACACCTGCAAATGGTTCCTGAGCCTTTAAATGGTCTCTCAGTCTGGTTCAGTAGGAATCACAATCATGGGAAAGACTGCTGACCTGACAGTTGTGCAGAAAACCATCATTGACACCCTCCATAAAGAGAGAAAGCCTCAAAAGGTAATTGCAAAAGAATTTAGATGTTCCCAAAGTGCTGTATCAAAGCACATTAATAGAAAGTTATGGACGGGAAAAGTGTGGAAGAAAAAGGTGCACAAGCAGCAGGGATGACCGCAGCCTGGAGAGGATTGTCAGGAAAAGGCCATTCAAAAGTGTTGGGGACTTTCACAAGGAGTGGACTGAGGCTGGAGTCAGTGCATCAAGAGCCACCACACACAGACGGATCCTGGACATGGGCTTCAAATGTTGTATTCTTCTTGTCAAGCAGCTCCTGAACAACAAACGTCAGAAGCGTCTTACCTGGGCTAAAGAAAAACAGACCTGGTCTGTTGCTCAGTGCTCCTCTTTTCTGATAAGAGCAACTTTTGCATCTCATTTGGAAACCAAGGACCCAGAGTATGGAGGAAGAATGGAGAGGCACACACTGCAAGATGCTTGAAGTCCAGTGTGAAGTTTCCACAGTCTGTGTTGATTTGGGGAGCCATGTCATCTGCTGGTATTGGTCCACTGTGCTTCATTAAGTCCAGGGTCAACGCAGCCGTCTACCAGGAGATTTTAGAGCACTTCATGCTTCCTTCTGCAGACGAGCTTTATGGGGATGCTGACTTCATTTTCCAGCAGGACGTGGCACCTGCCCACACTGCCAAAAGCACCAAAACCTGGTTCAATGACCGTGGGATTACTGTGCTTGATTGGCCAGCAAACTTGCCTGACCTGAACCCCATAGAAAATCTATGGGGCATTTCCAAGAGAAAGATGAGAGACATGAGACCGAAGAATGCAGAAGAGCTGAAGGCCACTATTGAAGCATCCTGGTCTTCCATAACACCTCAGCAGTGCCACAGGCTGATAGCTTCCATGCCACGCCGCATTGAGGCAGTAATTGCTGCAAAAGGGGCCCAAACCAAGTACTGAGTACATATGCATGCTTATACTTTTCAGAGGTCCGATATTGTTCTATGTACAATCCTTGTTTTATTGATTGCATGCAATATTCTAATTTTCTGAGATTGTGGATTTGAGGTTTTCATGAGCTGTAAGCCATAATCATCACAATTATGACAAATCATGGCTTGAACTATCTTGCTTTGCATGTAATGAGTCTATCTCATATATTAGTTTCACCTTTTAAGTTGCACTACTGAAATAAATGAACTTTTGCACGATATTCTAATTTTTTGAGTTTCACCTGTATATATATATAAGTGTGAGCTTCTTTAGATATTCTCTTTTTCCATTATACAGACATCAAAGTGGGTGACCACAGAGAGAAAATAGCATTAAGAAATAAGGGGCTTGCAGGCATATTCAGTACACAGCAAAAGGCAATGATAATGTGGGAAGTGTGAAATCCTATAGCAACCAATCCAACCTTTGTCTTTTATGGTATGGAGATAAATTATCAGATGTTACTCAATGTAATTGCAGTATTTACACAGAGAAATAAAGCTGATGGAGTTGATTTACTAGGCAATCAGAATTTGAAGTTTGTAGTGAAGTTTCACTCTGCAAAGAATACCCAGTCATTTACTTAATCAACCCCAATATTTGCCTAGACTGCATATAGTAGGGGGGATAAATGTTTTCCCCAAGTTCTCCATAAGCACACAGTGCATGTGAGCTGAAGAACATACAGTTATTCAGTCCTCAACTATTACACCACTAAGAGGATGGCAATCTTAACACAAAGCAAATAAAACAAATAAAATAGGTGTTTTACAGCAGAACTGTAGACAAACAGATAAATACAAAGTTAAACTACAGTATATATAAGTAACCTGCCAAGGTATTTGTAATTCTCTCCATCTAAGGATTGTCATCTTGACAATTTGACTATGGCTTGCACTTCCTTTGACTTCTCTGCAGGCTGTATGGTCAAGGATTTAAAGGAGAAGGGACACTTACAAAATCATCATTCTTCTCTTTACCCCTATCTGAAAGCTGTCATTGCTAGGAGGATAGAGCTATGCAGTACTGTAGAGTCAAGTTGGCTCACAAGGCTGCCCTCCCTCACTCAGTTTAGGAGATGCTGTATAGAGGAATAAGTAAGGTAAAATAAAGAATGGTTAGGGTACTTTTGCCAGCTTTATGTACAAGATACATTTAAAGTGGTTGTAAATCCTTACATATACCTTGTGAAGTGACTGGTCTCAGGTGATATACAGAGATGAAACAAATCCTCATACATAAATTGTACCTGTCTATCTGCAATCCTCTCTTCTCTACATCTTTTCAAAGTGCAGAATTTACACAATATCCTTCAACTCTGAAAAGCAGTGGGCGGGGACCTGAAATTACACTCTGCAGAGCTCAGTGAGGAGAGCTTTGAGCCCTGGTTGGAGGGAATTAACACACTCCCCTTCACACAGCATACAGAAACAGAGCTGAGGCTGTCAATCTAACGGAGGTCCCGTCCCTCTCACCTTTTTTCTCTTGGTGTCAGGAGTGTCAAAATTGACTCATACAGATAGCAGAGGAATGAAGCAGCAAACAGAAATGACAATTAGTTCCCTGGATTGAGACTTGTACTCACTTTAGATGGATATGGTTTAGTCATATTTTATGAATTTAGAATTGGAGTTTTTACATCTGTGTTAAATGATGTGTGATATTGGCATGTTCACCATCATTTTGTAATCTCCAGCAACCTGATCTTTGATAAACTGCCTATATCTCCCAAGCTAGCTGATTGCTGTCTCATTACAGCCAAGTGCTTACTGAAATGAAATGTATTTTTTATAAATTGTGTAAATTTTATTAATGTTTCTTTTCGTTTACAGATGATGATCTTGGTCATTTTTTTATTAATGTTTCTAATGGTGAAATTTGGACAACCCAACCTTTCTCAGTTAGCCAGAAGTCATACTATTGCTTAACAGTAACAGCAAGGGATCAGGGGGTCCCTCCTCTGGAGGAATATGTAACTGTGAATATTCAGGTGAGGTAACAAGTGTGTTTACCTGTTTTTCATTGGTTTGTGAAAAATAATTTTTCCTTACTACAAATAAGGATTTCTTAGCCAAGGAATACTTCAGACATATTCAAGGTGTGGTCAATGTTGGAAAAGTGAACTCTCAAAAACAAGTTAAAGTGTTGGTTAACCATGGGTCAAGTGACATTTCAGTTAAAACCTTTTCAGTAAAGTAAAGACGGGTTAGAACATTTATTTGCTGTCTGCTTCCCTACTGAGGAGACTTGTCTTGGTGATTGTAGCCACCTGGATAAATAGGTTTCAATGCTGTGATTTTAATGCTGTCAGATCTTGACATGGCAATTCAGTTTTTCATGGTGATACTTTAGGAACCTAATAATGAGCGGTGTTTGCACAAGGTTAGGTTGGTTGTTGGGTTAGTGTTATGGTTATCTGTAAATAGATTAGGATTTGGTTAGGGAGTAGGTTAAGAGTTGTTTTCAGGGTGAGCATTAAAGTAAAACTTAAGGCAAATTTTTTTTATTATTTTCATTTTGGATAAAGAAAGGGAGGGTTATAACCACTATCAGTTTTTTTTGCCATCTGTGTCCCATTGGGGAGATTTCTCATCACTTCTTGCACCAAAGGCCAAAACATGAAGTGAGAGGAAATCCCTAGTGGTCAGCAGGCTCACCAGAACTTACGTGTTCATTGGAAAATTTCCCCTCTAATATTGTTCTAGGGACAACCCCAACATTTTGGATTTTCTTTCACTTTTACTTTCGGTGACAATGGAAAACAGGTCAAATAGAGAGGGTGAATTTCACTAACAGGGACACAGACAGCAAAAAAAAAAACCTGAAAGGTGTTCTAATCCCTCTTCATTTTATTCAAAAATTTTTTTTTAGATATACTTTAAGTTTAGCATGTAGATGAAGGGTTAAATTTTTGTGATAGTCTTATGTGTTACAATGCAGGTTAAGTGCAGCAGAAAGGTAAATAGTCATGAGTTCATTCTATAGTAAAAATAAAATGGTAGAAAGCGAGCGCTATCCAATCAGCAGCTGTGCACTCAAGGTAACCAATAAAAAACTTTAGATCAAAATAAATATATAGGTAGTGCAGCGCTAGAGCAGTAATTCAAAAGAAGTAATAATAGAATATGAGCTCACTTAAAAACTCAAATACAGATTAATAACCAGCTAAGTACCAGACAACAGCATAAAAGGCAATAAACCATGGAGTATAATGCTCACAACTAATAAATTTAGGCATGGAAAAACATAGAAAATAAATAAATATATATGACATATATGTCAGTGCCTAAAATATACAAATAAAATTATAATTAAAATAAAAAATAAAATTAAGTGGGGCAATGAATTGGTGTCGGTGCCTAGGTAGTGCCACTATAGTCCCAAAATGCTTCAGTCGATGCTTGTGCTCGTGATAACAGAAGAAATGCGCACTCACTGGAAGCGCAATAATATTGTGCGTTAAAGATAATATTCTTGTGTCATCAAGGTGGTCATCTGGGCCAGTGGGTGGAAAAGGGTTCCCTCTCAGAGTGGATGGGTCCCGAGGATTTAGATGCTGATGATCCAGGAATATCCAGAGTTCCCCTTAAGGGATATGTGGGTGCAGCTCAAGGGTTAACTGAAGGCTCCCTCTCTGGAGGCAGTGGACTAGTGCAGGGCATCTAGAAAATTAATGCTCCCCAACGGGGTCAAAAACGGAAGAATGCCCATAGTGTAGTAACTTAAAGTAAACAATTTATTTATTTAAAAGTTGAAGATGCATCCATAAAATGTATGAAACAAGGAGATTCGGACTAACCGTCCCTGATTAGAGATGGCTGCCGGAGCTCCACAATGCTCCGACGGCGTAATGTCACGAAGTGAGTAGGCTCCTCCATACGCGTTACGTGCGTACGCACATCATCAGAGGAAGATACCATACCATAGTTCATTCTAAAGATTTGGTTAAGTGTTGGGGTTCAGGTAGGGAAGGCTGGCATTTTAAGGTTAGAAACATTTAGGTAACCATTCCAGTTTTACTTTTTTTCTGCCCCAAAAACACAGTTCAGGTGGGCCCCATTGTCATGTCTAAAAACTGTTGCAGCAGAGTAGTTAAAATATTATTTACTGCAAATAGAGTAGTTTGCAAACATAATATTTTATATCAGTTGGGTTACTTTGTAGACTATCAAGATAAAAGCAAATACTGCTGCTTTAATTAAATGTGCTGTCACCTTGCCAATTGGTTTAATATATGCAGACAATCCATACTTCCTGCCAAACAGCTGCTCCTGCAATTTTGTAGTGAGATGCTCTGTAAGTAATGCGACAGAGCAAAGCTGACCATGCTGTAGGACTCATTGTTTATACTGGAGCAAAGATTATTTCACTGAAATGTAAGAAGAAAGATTCGGGCAGTTTCTTTCACTATATCCTATACAAAGAATACAAAAAATATATAATGAACAACTCCTAAATATCTTAAAGTGTCCTCAGTCTTGTAGATATTTTTGATAATGTTATATGCATACAGTACATGCTAAGTAATATTAGTAGCTGATTGGTGTACCTTGTTAACTATCAATTTAGAAAGTAAGTGGTATCCAAACTTAAAAGAGAAGTTTAGACTTTTTTTTTTTTAATGCAGCATCGGTCTAATGCTGTATCTGTCACCTGCTGGCTCTAAGACTAAGAACTGAGTGATCAAACACAGCTGATCGCTCAGTGCTCAATAAACAGAGCACTAGTGACTGTCAGTCACCACTCTCTGTAAGCACTGGGGGGGGGGGGGGGGGGGGCAGTGCTTACTGAATTTCTGGGTTGTGGAGAGGGTAGGAGCGGCTGGCTCAGGCTCTCAGCAGTTTGCTGAAAGGCTGAGCTAGGTGCTGGTCCAGACATCTGGGTGGATCCCTATGGGATCTTTCCCTGTACTGGACCGGGGCGAGTGAAGTTAGCCGACAGCGGACTTTAGCCCATTGACAGCTGAAAACTGCATTTCTGTGATCCAAAGGAGAAGTACAGCCAAACAAGCTTTGGCTGTACTTCTCCTTTAAGTAAATGCTTACTGCTAAGTAATATATTTGGGAGTGGGCTTTTATTGCTCTCTTGGTATAACTGGGACAGGAAGTGAGGGGAAAGCTCCCCAATGAGGACACTGACTCTTTACCATTATATTGAAAACCTAACTAGAAAAATAGGATTTGGAAATAGGTTTTAATGATGCCGCTACTGTCTATTGTGACATACTGGAAATTTGTTTATGAGAACTTGCAAAGTAGCTGATAAGTAGGCATTATTATTCTGGCACTCGGTTTATGCAATTATTTGGGAACTCAAATTGATAGTGTGTATATAGGGAAAATAATATGCATGTTTTTTCAATAGTCTGACTAATGTTGAAATCAAAAGCTTGTATATTTATAATTATTAGTCAATGTTGATGTACTAAAATGGAAGAAAGACCTTTTTTATGTATGAAGCTACACAGTCTCAAAGTGGTTCTAAAGCCTAAACATTTTTCACTATAATGCATTCCCCTTATTAAGGTAAAAAATGTTCCAGTGACAGTATTGCTCCCTCACCCCCCCCCCCCCCCCCCCCCCACAACTCGATCCAGCGTTGTTTCTGTCTGTAGTGGTTCTCTCCTCTCTTCCTGCTCTCACAGGATTTTGCTCCTGTCAGTCAAATCCTGTGATGAGGGAGTATGGGAAGAGCCAAGCCTCGCTAAGTGTGTCTGTGGATGCAGGCAGCATGGCTTGGGATCAAGACCGCACATGTGCCCCTATAAGAAGTGGGTTCCTATGGGAATGCAAGAAGAGGAGGAGCCAGGAGTGCCAACTGTGGACCCCAAAAGAGGTGGAGCAGGTAAGTATAATGTTTGTTTAAAAAAAAAAAAAAATAGTAGTTTACAATCACTTTAAACTCCATTAGGAGATTATTTTAATATAAAGAATTTTTATTTCCAGAGCATTATGAGTTTTTTTAACCACCTCCTGTCCGGCCGTTGTATATAAACGGCCGGATGGTGGCAGTGCAGGGTCGGGTGAGTATTTATAAACGGCCTCCCCGCACCCTGCTTGTGCGCGCAGCACTGCGATCCGGTGCCCGCTGTGTCCTCCGGACACAGTGGAACACCGATCATCGGACGGGACCTCTGTGTGAGGTTCCAATCATGTGATCACTGATTGGCCAATCAGTGATCAAATGCAGAGTAGTAAGCAAGATGTCACTTCTGACATCATTGCTTACTACGTGTGAAATCTGTGAATGATCACAGAGGTCACATGGTACAAGGCTATTCACAACAGCCTTGTACCATGTGACAAGCTGTGACCAATCACAGCTCACTCAGTAGTTCTCAATGGCTGCAAGAATGCAGCTAGAGAGAAGGAGAAATGATTGCTTTTATATCCTTTATTTAAAAGCAATCAGGTGTAAAAGCAATGTCTCCATGGTGACACTGTACTGCTAGGGTGACAGTATGTAAAAAAATAAATAAATAAAAAAAAATAATATAAAAAAAATTTAAAAAAATGTAAAAAAAAGGGTTTAAAAATTATAATTTTTGGTTACAAACTAATTTGGGTTATTTTTGTTTACTAAAAATATAACGGAATAAATTTCGGCCAAGAGTTATGATGAAAATACTATTTATTTGCTAAATATTATAAGAAAAACACTTTTTTTTCAACATTTTTGGACTTTTTAATTTACTTATTTAATTTAGCAAAAAAAATAAAAATCCCAGTGGTGAATAAATACCACCAAAATAAAGCTTTATCTGTCTCAAAAAATGCTAAAAAATTCATATGGGTACAGTGTTGCATGACTGCGCAAACTGTCATTCAAATTGCGATAGCACTGAAAGCTGAAAATTGGCCTGGACAGGAAGGGGGTAAAAGTGGACTGGAAGTGGTTAAAGAGAGCACACCGGAATAGGTTTGCCTTCAGTCTCCCTTTCATGGACACTCTGCCTGGCCCTGAGGAGTTACACTTCTAACTTCTTAGTTGTGTATGTAAATTTCAGATTGAACTGATGGGCTTTGTAAACAGCAGTTTTTTCAATAGACTAATTAAAGTGGAACAAAACGTTTAAGTAAAAAAACGGTACAAAAATGGTAGAAGTATGCCTCTTAATCCCTAAAACTCGTTACTCCACCTGCTAGCATTTTTCTTTTGAATTAAACACTGACAGCTACAAATGTGCAGCTCACAGAAGTAAGTGTCTCCACAAACATAGATAGATCACATATAGATAGAGTAACAGGGAACTGCTATAGACATGGTTCCAATAAACCTGGCTGTATACACAGAAAAGGCATTGTTAGGTGAAGATGACTTCACTTAACTGAATAGCAATAATGCCAGGGCTTGATGTGTCATCTACAGTTAAATAACAAAATGAGGTATTAGAGCTAAAGCAAGAATATAAACTTCTCAACCATGTTTGCAAGTTGCATTTAAACTCCCCCAGCATCCACCCCACCTGCCCAAGTGGTCCCCCCCCCCCCCCATTAACTCACAAGGGGACACCACACTTCCCAAGGAAAGGACAGACAGGAGAAACTAGAATAAAGAAAGGAAAGGAAAAAGGGCATAAGAAAATATGTACCAGCCCTCCATACCAGGAGTAAGTGTTCAACAGCCAAAAGTCTTCAGCCCTAAAAGAAGAACAAGAGGTGATGGAGGCATTGGTAATGGAAAGATGGGGGTGGGGGGGATAGGGAAGTACAGATGTTGAATTGCAGGGTGGCTACTTTGCAAGGTAAGTCTGCAATAATGTGTACATACCTCCTTTAGACCTCAGTCCATCTGGGCAGTATGGTCAGCTGCTGAATAAACACTCTCCACAGACAGCTTAACTCTCCAATAAGACAGAGACTTTTAATCCAAGGTAAATTTACTTTTTTAAATGCAGTACATAGGATGTTCACTTGTTATTTGATGTTTAAGAAGACAATAATCTTCTCAATCCTATGTCTGCCATAAAGGCTAGCAGATCACTGATGGAACATTGAAAAGCGGGGAGCCTCTAAAGGACTAAAACTAACTAGCCCAACAGAAAGGGGAGCAGGGTCATACCACTGAGATTTGCAAGCATAAACAAGCTGTAATAATGCCGAATTGCCACGAGATGACGGGACCAATACACTAATACATAAGTAAAGCAAACCAACACAACAGTAATGGATACACTATAGGTGTGACAGAGCAACTCCATCTAACATGATGCAAACTTTAGTTCTGCTTTAAGAAAAAACATGTAAACATATAAAAGGGTGTCTAGCACCTAACCCGATACCTGGGAATGACAATGTTCACATGCAAAACTGCAAGAGTACCTTACTGAAAAATATATTTTTAATAATATTTTTAGCGCTGACAATACCAAATAAAGAAATGTTTACAAACCACTTTACTTTGCTTTTAAACCAGCTTGCTATACACAGTCTTATTAATATCTGACTGTGTTAAATGCTTCAATGCTATTGTGTCTATTCATATTTTATAATGTCACATTTACAAGAAGAGAGATGTGTATACGTATTATTTGTCAAACATATTAGTATCACTCCTATTTTAGTGAATACAAGTGGTGCATAAATTTCATAATGCTATCATCAAACATCAATTATCATTCATGTATTATGTCATTCTTTGTCTTCAACAAAAAGTACATAAATAAAAATAAATAAATAAACAACTTAGTAAATATGATACATAATGGGATAGTACACAAATCCAGTGACTTAAAAATATATATAAGCTAAAAAAAAAGTCCCATGAAAAATATCCGCTTCTATAGTATATTACCCAAGAAAAATGGCTTTATTTGGTCCAAGTAAGGCACTTACAACATTAAAAACATCAACAATCCCAAATGATAGATCTTAGTGATACGCATATACCGCATGGTGCTCTCACCACCTCCGGAACAGAACGCTGTTGCGACACTTCCGGTCACGGATCTATGTCACTTCCGGTCTGCCGCACTGTCATGCCCTGAAGCGGTTCGTCATATCTTAACTTACTCATAGGGGTTTTTGTTACAGCAACAATGCTGAAGACAAAGAATGACACAATACATGAATGATAATTGATGTTTGATGATAGCATTATGAAATGTAAGTGTCGCTTGTATTCACTAAAATAGGGGTGATACTAATATTTTTGGATTTTTGAAATAGAGTATAGTGGCAGCAATATATATATAATATTTTATTTAGAGGCAAATACATTTTTGCGTCAGGCAAAATATAGTGAAATTTGGATAAATATTTTCCAGGTAGCTACTTATAGAACATATTTAATTATTTGTCAAGGCTGTGCTTTATGTGTAATAGGGCTTGCTATAAAGTAATTTTGTTTTACAGACAATGCATATGGCATATTATTATTATTATTCAGGATTCATATAGCGCCAGCGGTTTGGTCAGAGCTTTACATTATAGTGGGAGACAATACAGTAACAATACAGTTCAATACAAGAGGGAATTGAGAGCCCTGCTCCTTGGAGCTTACAATCTAGGAGGGAGGGGTGAGTGGTACAATAGGTAAAACTGTGGGGGATGGAGTGGTTGGAAGCGTAGAGGATTCCAGTATTAGCAGAGGGCGGGATAGGCTTCCCTGAAGAGATACGTTTTTAATGATTGCCTAAAGGTAAGTAGAGTAGGTGATAGTCTGATAGATTGGGGTAGGGAGTTCCAGAGGATGGGTGACGCCCTGGAGAAGTCTTAGAGACGAGCATGGGAGGAGGAGATAAGGGAGCTAGAGAGTAGGAGGTCTTGCGAGGAGTGGAGTGTACGGTTTGGGTGATATTTAGAGATAAGATCGGATATGTAAATTGGGGCAGTGTTGTGGATGGCTTTGTATGTCATAGTTAGTGCTTTGAATTTTATCCGTTGGGCAACTGGGAGCCAGTGGAGGGATTGGCAGAGAGGGGTGGCAGATACAGAGCGGTTAGTGAGGTGGATGAGTCTGGCAGCAGCATTCATGATAGACTGAAGGGGGGATAGCCTGCGATGAGGTAGGCCAATAAGGAGGGAGTTACAATAGTCGAGGCGAGATATGACAAGGGAGTGAAAAAGTTGCTTAGTGGTTTCCGGGGTTGGAAATGGGCGTATCTTGGAGATGTTGCCAAGGTGAAGTCTACATGATTTTATCAGCGATTGGATCTGGGGCTGGAAGGAGAGATGGGAGTCTAGGATTACACCTAGTACCCTGGCATGAGGGGATGGACTAATGATTGTGTTATTTATTTATGGTGAAGTCGGGGGGGGGGCGGGCTGGGGGGAATAATAGGAGCTCAGTTTTGGAAAGATTGAGTTTGAGGAAGTGGAGTGACATCCAAGCCTATATGTCACTTAGTAGGCTAGCGATGCGGGTGGAGACTGAAGGGGTGAGTTGAGGGGTAGACAGATAGATTTGCGTGTCATCAGCATAGAGATGGTAATTGAAGCTGTGGGAGTTTATCAAGTGACCAAGGGAGGAGGTGTAGATGGAGAAGAGAAGGGATCCAAGGACATAACCTTGAGGGACCCCTACAGAGAGAGGGAGTGAAGAGGAGGTGGCAGCGTTATAGGTAACATTGAAGGAGCGCTGCGATAGATAGGAGGAGAACCAGGAGAGAGCAGAGTCTCTGAAGCCAAGAGAGTGTAGTTTTTTTTGAGGAGGAGGGGATGGTCAACCGTGTCAAAAGCCGCGGAGCGGTCGAGTAGTAGGAGTATTGAATAGTGGCCATTGGTTTTTGCAGTTAGTAGGTCATTAGAGAGTTTTAGTAGGGCAGTTTCAGTGGAGTGTAGTGAGCGAAAGCCAGACTAAAGGGGGTCGAGAAGGTTGTTGTCAGTGAGGTGGGAGCTCAGACGATTGTATACTAAGCGTTCTAGGAGTTTAGAGGTAAATGACAGCAGGGAGATGGGTCTTAGGTTGTTCAGGTTGGTGGGGTCTAGGGAGGGTTTTTTAAGTATGGGAGTGATGTGCGCGTGCTTTAGAGGGGAGGAGAAGGCACCTGAAGAGAGGGAAAGATTGAAGATGTGAGTGAGGGAGCATAGGATGGAGGAGTAGGGTGACCGAAGGAGTTGTGAGGGGACAGGGACCAGGGGGCAGGTGGTGAGATGGGCTTCTGAGAAGACCTTGAGGACCTCTTTGGTGGTAGCGAGGTCAAAGGAGGAGAGTGTTGAGGGAGGTATGGTATAAGGAATGCTAAGTGGGGTGGGTTTCTGTGTAGTGGCGATGTCCCTACGAATTGCATCAATCTTGTTTTGGAAGTGGTTTGCAATCTCGTGGGCAGTGAGTGAGGTGCTGGGTGGCGGTGGGGGGCGTAGAAAGTAGAGAGTTAAAGGTAGAGAAGAGCCGATGAGGACTCGAAGAGAAGGTATTGATGAGAGTGACAAAGTAGGCTTGTTTGGCAGCGTGAAGAGAGGAAGTGTATGTTAGGAAGGCAGATTTATAACGGTTATATTAGTTTATATTATTAACCAAAAGTTAAAATGAATTCTTTATGTACAGTGCAGTTTCCATCAGAAATCTGACCTTGTGTATGAAATCACTTTAAAGTACAGCTGCATTAAGTTTTGAGCAGGTATCCCAAGGCAATACCTTACTCTGCTCCAAACAACCGAATCTAGGCCAGAGCCCCAAGACAAATCTCACACTTGCATTTGGTTTCCACAACTCAGGTGTTCAGTGCCTAAGCAGCTAGTTGTACTGTCACATAGAAATATTTGCAGCCATTTACACATGCCAACTTTTTAAAAGATAGGAGGACTCCCCTTCCTACTAGATTTTGTATGTTGTAATAAATAGTAGAGGAGGAAGCCATTTGAGCAGTAGTTCTGAGATTTTATCTGGTGGTGTTATCAAAGAGTTATTAATATCATTTTGAGATAAACTGACAGGGCTCATCCCTATGGTGAATACAATCAAAACATAATTAGACCCATAATATTTATATATCATATCTTTTAGGTCATTTCAACTTCTAAAGAAAAATCAAAAGGCATGGTCGAACTAAAAAACTTGAAGATTCCAGAGGATGCAAAACCTTCTGAAGTAGTAGGCTCAATAATGTCACCAGATAAGTTTTTATCTAATACAAAAATACAGTTCCATTTTTCTGAGGAAGATCACAACAGTCATTTTGTCATTGACAGTTCCTCAGGGGATATATACCTCTCCAGACCACTAGATTATGAAACAAGCCCAAACTACCTTTTCCTCATTGACATAAAGGACCATAACACAATTCCTCCTCAAGACCATACTGTCATCCTAAAGATTGATATAGAAGATCAGAATGATCACTATCCTGTCTTTCCTCATCCCATGGTAGTCATTGGCATTGAAGAGAATGTACCTATAGGACTGTCTTGTATACATTTGAAGCAAAAGATGGAGATGGGAATTTACCAAACAACAAGGTTAAATATTCATTAAAAACAGATGAAACTGGAGAATACCCTTTCTTTATCCATGAATGGAATGGAAGCCTCATCACAGACAAAGAACTGGACAGAGAGGCAGTTGAATCATATGTACTTACAGTAATTGCAACAGATCAAGCCACTAACATAACACAGCGTCGGCACTGCTCACTGACAGCTCAGATTATCATTCAAGACATCAATGACAACAGTCCAAATTTCTTATCATCTCCAGCTGCATTTGTTATGGAGGATGTAGAAATTGGCTCACTTATACATCATGTAGTAGCTGAAGATCCGGATGAGGGAAGGAATGGAAAAATAACCTTTTACATCATGGATGGGAATTCAGAGCATGTTTTCTTGCTGGATGAAACAACAGGTATTGTACTTAATTTTTCAAGACAGACAATTTTCCTTGGACTCAAATATGGCAGTAGATACATTTGCAACTTGGTGGTTAAAAAGGGAAAATGTGTTTCTGGAAAGACTATTTCAGATGATCCATTTTCCCACTTCTAACTGTTCGTGCAGATGCCTGGACCTATTCTTGGCTAGGAAAATGCTCAACACATCTGGGTTTAGTTTGTGTAAAATATTATAATGAAATAATGATAATAAATGGCCTGTGCATGGCAAGGTATTATCACAGATAACTGACAGTTTATTCTGCTGTTTAAAGCTATGTATTTATTACTATGTACTATGCAAAAAACATTGTCTAAATTTAATTATATCTACAGTAAAAATAATTGACTATGGCAGACAGCATTTTAAATTCAGTGTTGATAATAATGAAAAGTAAGCTACAAAGGGTTGCAACATTGATTTTTTTAAAAACATTTTTCAGATATCAATTGCAATTTATTTAGAAGACAGCTAAAAAAAAATACTGATGCAGTTTCCAGTTAAATTTCACACATAGGGGTCATAATCACCTGATCTTGCTAGTGGCTTCTGGATTAATCCTTTGTTTTTTTAAATATATTATCAGGAACCAGCAACTACATTGAATACCAGAGAGTGACACGAAGGAATATATTATGCCATTATACATTATAATTTAGTAATTTTCCATAACTCATACAGTAATAGTGTCAACATTAAAACTAGTGACCAAAAACAATCAGGAATAATATGTTACTAAACCCTTAAAGGATAAGTTCACCTTTTGTAACATGTTACATGTTACGCCCATATTGAGGGATATTACTAATGGACCAGCCCCCTTCCTCGCTGCTCCTCATTGTGACAGTTAGTGGGGGATCTTCTGCTCCTGCTAGCTGTCACAATTTTTTAAAAATGCAGCACTGTGTTCTATGATTGACTGATCTACAAGTCCAGAAAGTCTATCCGGCTGTCGAGTTGTAGTTCTCAATGAACTACCACAGCACTGTGGAGGGCCTGTGGTAGTTCATTGATTCTTCCTGTCAGATACATCCTGTACAGATAATCAGATATTATACTGACAGGTCTGCAGGAGACCTGCATGGCACCAGCGATCTACTGATTTCTGGTGCAGTGCTTTAAAGGTGCCAGAAACAAAAAAACTAACGTTTATTACCTGCAACAAAATGTGCATTTAGGTTGAGTTCACACCTATGTTTGTATTTGACCCGTTTCTGCATTGTGTTTTGCGTTGTGTTTTTGATGTGTTTTGCTTTTTTAAAATTTTTTTATTTTTCTTGTTGCTAGGCAGATTTAAAATGCATCAAAAATCATCAAAACCGTGGCAAAAACGACCAAAAAAATGCACAATATGCTTTTTTGCAGCATTTCCATTGAATTCTATAGAACCAAAAATGCAACTTTTTTGTGTTAAAAAAAGTCCCTGACCCTTTCCAAAAAATGCCCCCGGTGAAAACGCTGAGATGTCAACGTATCTCATAGGAAATCATGTTAAATGGACTGTATTACATTTCTGCAAAATACAAAATGGTGCGGTGTGAACCTAGGGTTATTATTTTTTGCAAAAAAAACTTATTTAAAAATTAACTCTTCATATTTGCCCGTTTTTGGTCTGTTAAATATGCAATTGAAAGGGCTGTATTATATCTGTCAATATGTATTCAAAACTACTTGTTGATCCTACAAAGAATCCAGTAAGTGATAGCTTTATGTGCAATGTGCCTGTGCTGCACTAAAACCTAAGAGTTATCAGCCCTGCTCAGTTTACCTTTGCAGAAAAAAGCAAAAGAAAAGAGCACAAGCCTATATACAATCTGAAGGTGGCATTACAACTGTGAGTAAAGGCAAGAAAACATCATCAATGTATAAACAACACTGTATATATCAATACCATATAAACGGGACCCAATTGGGTTGTAGTAGAGGTGAAGAGATAAGGGATATTCTGTCAAATAGTTGAAGACAAGTATGTAACCCGCAAGGTGGATAGAGTCCTGTTCACTTATGGCTGCCTTTCACTGGATTGAGGATTAGTCCAGAGGGGTACATGTAAGAGAAGAAAGGAGAAAGGTGCCTCTAAGTGTAAACTGTAAACTTGGTTTATTGCACATAAAAGACAACAACTTACAGGAGGGTAGATTAAAAAAGGCACTTCAATATCCATCAATGGGAATTTGCCAGGGTGAACAGAATAGTGTGCAGTCCTGGATAATGATCTGTTAGTGTCAGGTATTTTGGTTGGCAAGATGGAGGAGGTCTGGCACCAAGGCTTGGAACGCACAGCAGAGTGCAGCGTGTGCACGATGATGTCACCAGGCGTTTCCTGAGCATGTGCTGTGAGATAGCAGTCCTAGCACACTCCTTTGTCAAGCTGATGAAATTAAGTGGGTTGTGTTGATATATGATGTAAAAAGACATGCAGGAACAAAGAACCCCCAATGTAAACCAGTCTCCCCCAACCACCTTTAGAGCATCCACAAAATGTTCTCAATAAACACCTCCTCTAGAATTAAACACATCTCCACCAATCATCATCTAATGGGGGGACCTCACATATCCACTAAGCTTCTAGCTTACGTTGTATATCAACACAACCCACTTAATTCTGTCAGCTTGACAAAGAAGTGTGCTAGGACTGCTATCTCACAGTGTATGCTCAGGAAACGCGTCGCGATGCCATCGCACACATGCTGCGCTACGCTGTGCGTTCCAAGCCTTGGTGCCAGACCTCCTCCATCTTGCTGGCCATAATGCCTGACACTGAGAGATGACAGATCATCATCCAGGACTGCACACTATGCTGTTCACTGTGGCAAATTCCCATTGATGGATATTGAACTGCCTTTTGTAATCTACCCTCCTGTTAGTTGCTGTCTTTTATGTGCAATAAACCAAGTTCACAGTTTACACTTAGAGGCGTCTTTCTCCTCTCTTCTCTTACAGTTTACCTTTGCAGACTATGGACCAAGTTCAACCATGTTATGAAGAAGTGGGTTAAATGTGTTGTAGTCCTAACACACTGCCTGTCTTAGGGTGACAATGCTGCTTCTCCATAGATACAGTAGAGTTAGTGAGCATTGTCATCCCAGGACAGGAAGTGTGGTAATGATAGGATAGTTTTTTTTTGTACCAGTGGTACCTTTTCTTTGATAACTGGCAGGCCATCCAATGCTGGAACTCCAATAAAATGCCTGGGCAAAGGCTAGGCATTGTAAGAATTGTCTGGGTGCTGATAGAAAGCCCTTCTGACTATCAGAAGTTGCTCAGGAAGATGTTTGGATTTATTCACTATAAGTGCGCTTTTCAGACCAATGAGCAAGTGTCATGACAAACATTAATAGGCAGATAGTAGGCTGATGTCTAAATATCTGTAGGTATTAAAGAGACATCTTTTTGTCTATGTCTGGCTTTATATAGCAAAGTACAGAGAGTAACAATGAAAATGGTATCAGTATTTACATTTCAGCAGTGCAGAGCAGACAGAAATGTGAAACATAATTAATAATTAGTACACTGGGCACCTCGCTTTTTAAAGTACATAAAGGTACACATAGCAGCCTCTCCAGTTTCCTTACAGTTTTTGTTTTCTCCAGGTATTATAACCCAGTTTGTGATATTGGGGGTTGTTTAGTTAAGCTGAAAAAGCATTTGTAATGAGTACTTGCTGTTCCAAATTGTGGGTTTAAGGCTTGCTAGCCCACTTTTCGTAAACAAAATCAAAGTTCAATAGAAACAGTTGCCCACTCAGGGGGCTTTCACCATCAAAAACGGTTATAAAAAACAATACCAAGCCACCTAGCTTCATCTTTAGCTTGCTGCATTGCTGCTAGCCCCTAACAATTGGCCTTTGGTTCTCTCAGCTCTTCTTGTTTACATAGCACTTCTGGCTTTTCCAGCAGATTCAGTTGCAGCACCCTGCTGCCTGGTCTCATTTCCTCACCTCTTGTTAGGGGTTCTCCTGACACCCCATGCTCTCTCATTCCTCCAAGACTTTCATATTGCCTCAGTCTCCTGGCCTTGCCTAGTTATCTAGGCTCTCCCAGGGTCCCAGACTTGCTTAGCTGTCTCAACTCTTACAGCCCTATGGACAAGGAATCTCTCCTGTGCTGTCTCTTGTGTGCAGCACACCTGTCATCTAATGGGAGAGGTCCTTCATTACAAGAGCTATGCACTCACAGGCTGCCGGTCTCCTGCAATACCAGGACGCTGCATTGGAGATTT